TGTAGTGGAATTGATAAGCAGAAGGTAAATCAGAGAATTAGACTGCAGCAAGAGTGCATTTTGCATGGGTGTGCTGTGTATGAGGCCTTCACATTGCAGAGGGATTTCACAGAGCACATTCAAACATAATTCTGGTTTTGTTGTAGGAGGGTAGACTTAGATGAACCATTAGAATTCTTTTTAACAGTTATCTGTGATTCTGTGTTTGATAAAGTTTTAATTGCACAAGACTGTACTTGTTTCTCTACTGGGATTCTTGCTGATTCATTCAGTAAGAGTTCAGTGTCAAAAGCTGCTCCAAGGATGAATTRGGTCTGTGCTTTATAGGAAGCCTCTGGCTTTGGAGGATTGTTTCCCTGGCAGCAGAAATTGGGCACTGTGGAGTCCATGCAGCAAGAAGAATTGGGGAATAAATCAATATAAGGATCTTCTGTTCCTACATGTGCTTAAATTCAACCAACTATTTAGGCTGATTTCYTTCTTGAGTGCTGACCTCTGGTCTCAATAGTTTCAGTTTTCAGAGACAGAAATGAATAAAAAGTCAGGAGCCCTGGTGGGATTTAGGAGTCTCAGCATCTATTTGGATGTGCTTCAACTGTCCCAGTACTGCTTCCATTTAAATGAATGATTAACGCCTATTGATTCTGATGAGGTAAGAGCTACTTCAGTGTTCTTATGTGATCGTGGGCAAGCCACAGAAAATGAACTTTCCTACTGGCCTGAATAATTTTTTGGGTAATTTCAGGCAGCTCTCTCCTGGAAACAGTCAGTGGAAGTGCTACAGCAGAGTCCCCTGACCCAAGCTGAGCACTGAGAAATCATATGCTCCTGATGGTTTGACTTCAGTCTTTAGCATCTGACACACTGAATTTGTCACTACCGTTTCTCAGACCATTGAAAACTGCACTTAAGGACGTTATAGAAGTGGATTATTTCTTATGATCTAAACTGTAAGTGGGGAGAAGGGTGTAGAAGTGCACATTGAATGATACGAAGGGAGATAAATASTGCCCATCCAGAAGTTCTGTAGTTGCCACCCATCCTCAGTAATATTTTAYTAAACTTGCCTCTCTTGGCAATTTCAATTAGTTCTTGGTGCTCTGGTCCCCACAATTGGCTTTGAGCTGATGCTAAAGAATAATTGTGTTTTCCATATACTTTTCTGGGCAAATCTTCTGATGTCTTCATCTCAATGCCTCTATAAATCTTTCTCCTGTTTTTCCACTTTGTATGTTGCGAGATCAGTCTAATCAGTTCCCACGAATTTAAGGTGCCATGATTAATTCTCCTTTGGCAGAAGACTGTGGGTTTATTTTATATYCATTCACCTTAGTTTTCAGCTGCAATTTTCCCACTGCTTTTCTTGCAGCTCACTCAGCATGGGCAGGTGGTCCAAAAGAGAAGGGATCACATTGTCTGTGTGGCTTTGGTGAATAAAGCTCCCAGTGATGAAAACTGACCATACAGTATAGGTAGTATCCTCCATAGTATATAATTTATTACCATCAGCAGTTTAGATTTCAGGAGTCCATTTACTGGCGAGCAGTTTACTGTCATTAGCAGTGTGTAAATGACTGCGGGCTGCTGGAGCTGGAGTACCACTTGTTTCACTCATCCAGCCTCCCCTTCCCTGTAGAAATYGCAGAGCTGCCATGCACAGGAGGCTGTGGGAGTGTGGCATTTGGTGTGATTGTGTTCCCTGATTGCCAGCAGGGGTTACTGCCAGTRCCTCCCGTTTGGAGGAGGAGACGCAGCACGGCACCCCCCACATCCCGAGCGGCACCTCCTGTTTAACTCCTGCCAGTGAAAACTGGTTGTTGCTCACTCGAAGGCTTACACATTTAAAAACCTCCTGGAGATCCTTGTTGTTGCTTTGCATTTACAGGACTTTCTAATCAAACCGGTCATTCTTCTCACTCTGAATACATGTTTTCAAGCCACTGAGTCCATGGTGTGTTAGATATCCTGGAAATACTGCATCTGGTTTTGGATGCAGCTTAGGGGTTTTTAAGGTGTGTTCATCCAGTGTTGTATAGGCCCTTTTAGTCTTTCTCTTCTCTCACTGAAATTAAGCTGGGGGCTCTATGTGGGGTTTTTCCTCACTCTTAATGGTTGAGTTGGGTATTGTGATTATTGACAAATTAAATTGGTACTTGCCTTAGCTGAAAGTTAAACTGGAATTTGGTCATTAAGGAAATACACTTACGTGTCAGTAAGAAGAGTTTTTAAAACACAAAATGCATGTGAATAGGTTTTAACTGAGAGCTTTGTCCTGAAGTAACTTCTCCAGACRTCTCCATTTTTAATGGACTAAGGCAATTTAAATTCTCTTCGCTGAATAGAGAGAGAGCTTCATGACAGAGGTAAAACTCACCTTAGAAAAGGATAGAAGACAGGAAGCAACTTGAGTAAGGTAAAGGCTTCAGGAATGCATTCCTCTCCTTTAATTGTAATTTGTAGAAAATCTGTTAGTCACCTGAGGATTCACCTGAAGATGGGGAAGTTTTGCTTTTCACTGATCATAAAAACTGTGAGTTGGGATAATGCTGACCATTAAAGTGCTGAAATGTTGTGGTGACACCATGCAATGCAAGCAGAGCCTTCATGGCATACTTAGAGCATTAAATCAGTTTGCCAGAAAGACAAACAGGGCTGTGCTGTGGCTGGGTGTGGCAGAGGTGGTGGCAAGAAAAGCATCAGGCCAGAGCCATTGCCCAATGCCAGATAAGCAGAAACACCCCTTGTGCTTTCCATGGCTTCTGTAAACTGGGTCCTGAAAAGTGGGGGAAAGARCGAGACAGGACAGGGGTTGGTGAKGRGRAWTGAKRCAGGACAGGGGTTGGTGRKGAGGAATGAKRCAGGACAGGGGTTGGTGRGGAGGAATGAKRCAGGACAGGGGTTGGTGAKGAGGAATGAGGYAGGACAGGSGTTGGTGRKGAGGMATGAKACAGGACAGGGGTTGGTGAGTGCTGTTCTCTACTCCTCTGGGCACTGGGGACACCCATCCCTCGGCAGTGTAGAGCTCCTGCCCACCCGGGCAGCCCTGGGGATGTCAGGAGGGGTCTCATGGTGTGTGTGTCCCTGCCTTCTGGGCCCACAGAGCTGCACCATTGCTTGCTGGAAGGTGCTGGCRGATGTCCCCAGCCTCACTGAGACCCCTGTGCTTGGTGAGTAGTGACACCCAGGGAGTGGTGCTGCTCTGTCAGTTCTGCTCATGCAGGGTAAACAGCCTGGTTCCAGAGAAATCGAGACTGTTTGAGGTTATTAGAAGAAGCTATAAATAGATAAGAAKAAAATCAGGATAAAAAACAAAGCCGTAAAATAACGAAGGTCAGTAGGTTATTTATTGACTGAGGGGTATGTGCCAGTGAAAAGAGCAGCAAATGCCATCATGCCATGAGCAAAAGGGGCATTCCTGCAGCAGAGGAGGGTTTGGAATAGTACCTGTCCWCTGAGACATACTGGGAAACTGCTTCATTTAGCCAAAACAAAACCTTCAGGACTGGGGGAAATACAAAAATATATCTGCATGTACAGATGATTTCTGAGTTGAGAAAATATATTTTCAACTTTCACGTGGTGGATTCCTGGTTTTAATTGATACATTGCATTAGTTATGTTTATTAATCATATGGAAATTACTGTGCCCAAATTTAAATTGCTGTTGTCAGAACTGAGGCTGACAGTATTACCCAGTATGAAATGGATAACAAATATTATTTCCTGAAGAAGCAAAGCCAATTCAAAAAAGTCAATATTTAATTTGCATTGTAAAACTGTACCTCTACTAACATATGGAGGCTTGCTGTGTTTTAACTCTGCTTGCAAGTTTTGAAATGCATGTGTTTCTAATGCTCCCTTCTCAAGGAATAAAATACCAGAATTAGAACATTTGCATAATATTTAGTATGTTTAACCTATCTTCATTTATCCTTTGTAGAGGGACTAATACTGTTAACTGTTAAGCTGCTTCTATTATGGTCTGAATTTTTGAAGCTATGCAGCGGATCATTAATCCAGTTGAACTTTTCTGCAAAAGCTGAGAGACTTACTCTTTGTAATGTTAATGATGTTGGGATGGATTTTGTAGCTCTGCAGTTTGCTTAATTTTTCTGAATTTCCTCCATTAACAAAAGAAGATTGCGAAGTGATGAAGAGAAGATCATGCAGCMATAAAAAAAAAAGTCTTTATGTTGCCCTGGGTTGCATGGTTGGATATTTAGATAGTGTGTAGTTGCAGAGGCAATAATGTGTCAGGATACTTTATTTATACTGATGGAATTTTGATCAAGTCACAAGAATTTTCATTTATAGCTATTGTGTTGTTCTATTTTCAGTTTTGGTACCTTTGTTTGATTTACAATGAAAAGTTAATCCTTTCAACTCCGCTGTTCAGGTAACAAAGGGAAATGGAAAACGCACATGAAAGAATGACAGAGGCAGAGTTGGTGCTTGTGGTGCTGGTCTGGCTCCTGTCTCAGCTGAGCTCTCAGAGCCCTTGGGTTTGGAAAGCTTGCCTTGGTCAATGACCCGTGCTGGCCCTAAGGTGAGCAGTGTGACAGCCCCGGGCTCTGCCCAGAATGGGGACATYTGTCACCCAGGGCACTCMGCACGGAGCRTGCACAGCCACCAGCAGSGGCCCTGGAACTCAAAGAAGGTGCYCATTTGCTGYTGCACGCACAATTCAAAGCACTGGGCACCTGCAGACAGCACCTGAGTCCTCCACGGTTGTCACTGCTGYACCATACTTGTTTGGCGGCAAAGAGTGAAAGGATGGAAAAAGGTTCTAACTCCTCGCTGGAAACCACATTACAGTACAGATGATTTCTCTTTCCCTCCTTCTTCAAGACACAGCCTTGTTYMAAACATTTCTTTTATTGTTGYACTATACATATTCTTGTGTGTARTATTGAGCTGTTTGTTTTGCAGCAGAAAAACACTGATACGTTGATGTGGCAAAAATGTGTGGTGATTTCTCTTGTTCTTTCATTACATTACAGGAACGGTAAGAATTGAAATGTTCAGGAACATGCAAAATGCAGAAATCATAAGGAAAATGACAGAAGAATTTGATGAGGTAGAGTATACAAATAGTTGTTTTAAAATTTATGAAATATGTTAYTGCATACTCCTGGTTTATATTAAAAATGCAAGGGGCCAGTGGATGAGTGATGTCTCAGTTGGGAAGCTGCACTGGCAGGTGAAGCAGCCCCTACAGCTGTTGGATGAGGAGTGACAAGGGAGGAGGGACAAGAGGGGTTCATCAGAGCAGGCAGGAGGGGGAACTGGAGAGCTCTCACCCCACTGGGAATGGTGGGGACATTCTGAGTGCTGAGCTCCAGCTCTTAGGGTACAACAGAGAGCTCTGGATTCCCGACACATCACATTCATGAAGCAGGATTGCAGGCTTTTGCWGCATTCTGCTCTGTTTTCTCCGTGCAAATTAATGTTTTGTTTATTTTAAATGGCAATTTAAACCAAATGGGAATTTGACATGAAAATTACCATTTTGGAAGAGTGGTACAGAAAGAAACACTCCTTCAAAAGATCTGAGCATTTTGTTTGAAACAAGTAAATTACAATTCAGACTGGGTATCTTCTGTCAAAATAAACATGTTCCTAATGTTGAATGCTTTTTAGCTTTGAGATTTTTGAACTGTGTTTTCTTTGATTTTTCRTGTATAAAAAGCTGAGTGTTCTGAGYRTTTATTTTCTTTAATGAGGGGAACTAAAGCTGGAGCAGGAATTCTCTATAGGACAGTAGTATCTCTGACTAATGCTAAATTGTATGCCAAGACTGTTATTCCAGAAGTTAAGCAAGAAAACTGTAGATATGAGAATTGCTCTTTTCCAGGATGTACTTGTGCATGATTTCTGTCTTGTTCGTGCACTTGAATAGCAAAATGTTTCAGTAAATTCAACACCTCTTAAGGAGTTACTGGTACACAATCTTGCTTTCTCTATTACCTAAAACTTTAAGAACTTCTGCAGTTCTAAAAAAAAAGTTTCAGTTCTAATTTCTGACTTAACACTTGAATGAATTTGTGAGAGAATTTGTGGAGTTTAGTACAAAAGCATTAAATTGCTAGTCCTAGGCTACAACCCAGTGAATGTTTTGAAATCTGAAATAAACTTGGCATTTCACCTGTATTGGCTTCCCCAGTAGCCCAGACATCCCRAATGATCCCATTGTTCCATGAGTGCTGCAGGAATCAGCTGGCTGCTGGCCTGAAGTTTGCATTTATGGCAGGGATTGAAGTATTGATTTTCCTCCTTGTGATGGGAGGAATGCTTGTACTGGATTTAAATGATGGAAATAACTTTGTTCACTGCTGCCACAAGTTCACTTTGGGACAGGGAATTCTATGGGCATCCATTGACTGCACTATTTGGCTGCTTGGCTTAGGAGGACAGGTGTTTTGCAGCTAAATTCCCTCATAATTCTTGTCCTAGAGTTGGMAGGTGAACAAAGACTTGGTTGACTTTGAGTTTTCTAAGCATTGGGCCATCAAGTGTCATGTCAGTGTCACTAATGTGTAGTATTTTTACTGGTATTCAGGAATAAAAGAACCRTGAAGTGACTTTATTGGGAGTTTTTTCTTCCCATTTTAGCAAGATGAAGTCTGTCACAGTTCAGCCAGATGAAGTCTGTCATGGTGCAGTCTCCATAGGCTTTTCAAAAGAGTTGTCTGATATGTAATTGTAAGTTAAAAATGCACCCTACAGGTATGAGTAGTTACACACAGCACTAGAGATTCGAGGGTCTGTTCCAAAAGCCTGCCTATATACACACCTCTCAAAATCATACATTATGTGCCAAGGTTCACATGCAGAGACCCATCAGSTTATTTTGGTGCTGCTGAAATGGGGGTGATTTGGTTAAATTTGGTGGCTARGGGGTTTTCTGCAGGGCAGAAGTTTAGGTTATGAAGTTCAGGTTCAAAGTTGTTTGATTGCAGCTCCTCTGTGCTTACGCTGCTGCCTTTGTGTGGTTCAGTCTGGGTGATAAGAGAAGGCGTGGGAAGGAAAGTGTCTGTTCCTCACAAAAGCACACAATAAATGTGARCAAATGGATGTAGCTTTGGTGTACTGACTTCTTATCCTGGCTGAGAGATTCAGGATGGAGCATTGATGTTTTGGGTACTCGGAAATGGGCTTACAAATCTAGTGGTCAGTGAGATTTGTACTCAGGCTTTTTCACTGAGGGGTAAAAGCATTTTCTGATAGTGGGGAAACAGTCTTCCTGAAATGCAGTATRTAGAGTGAAGGGAATATAGTGAGAGCAGACCTGGAGAGGGGTTAAATGAACATGCTGGGTTCAATCTTGTGATCATTCTTTGAAGATGAAGTGTATGAATCTGTAATAAAGTTTCCATTACTGCTCATCAGTAGGCAAGTGCTACCACTAGAAAAAGGCTGCATTTACAAGATAAAACAGGGCACTGTTTGCTTTCTGGTAAAAAAACTGTAAGCTTGAGTAAATCATACTCRGCTATAAACTTGAGCAAATAAAAGTTTGTGGGGAGAAGCAGCTAGCTGATCAAAATATTAACCTGGACTTGAAGTGGCGATAGAGAATGCCRCAAACTTTCAATTACACAAGCCTTTCTTTAGGTTTTGACTTTAAATAATTTCAAATATTCTCTTCTCATCCTTCCCTTCCACTTCCTAGCCCAGGACACAAGGAGAAGAATTGAGTCTTGGTRCTTATTTTGGACTATATAGAGCCAATAGTGCAAGTGTAAAACAGTCACAATGATGTCTTTGCAGAAGTGGTTTCATGCCAATGAACTTGCCTGTGTATTGAAAAAYAACGTGTTGTTTTTATTTGGTTTTCTCCCTTGGTTTGAAGGAACAAGGTGATGTTTAGCTTAGAGCCTTAGACCACACCATTGAATGGCCACCATTGAAATAAATCAAATGGGGAGACCTTTGCACCCTGATGTTTTCCTCTGTTGCTCTGCAGGACAGCGGKGATTATCCCCTGACCATGCCCGGGCCGCAGTGGAAGAAGTTCCGCTCGAATTTCTGTGAGTTCATCGGGGTGCTGATCCGGCAGTGCCAGTACAGCATCATCTACGACGAGTACATGATGGACACGGTGATCTCTCTGCTGACCGGCCTGTCGGACTCGCAGGTCCGCGCTTTCCGGCACACCAGCACGCTGGCTGGTGAGTCACTGTGCCAGGGCTGTGCTGCTGCTGCTGCTCCTTCACCATGGCAATCACTTAGCATTTGCAGCTTGGCCGGCATTAAAGCTGGGCAAAGTTTTGTCAAACCCAAGTACCACGTGTGCTACAACTGTACTTAAAATACTCCTTTTTGATTTGGAAAGGAGTGTGCTGAGACACTGAGCGATTCCTGTCATACCCAGGGTCTCCAGGGAATCCTGACAATCAAAAGTGGTGTGCTTATGTCTTGTAGTTTATTAGTTGTTCACTTGCTGTGTAGAATGTTGGAATTATTTTATATTTAAAGAGTATAAATTTATTCTAAAGAAGTATTGGGACAGTTGTATTATCAAATAATTTTCATCCACCTGAAAAAATAATCTGTGCCTTAACTCTGGAGAGACAAAATGTTTGGGGTCACTGGGCCATGGTTGTAGGGCTCCCTGTCTTTGCCTCCAGCCTCGCCACCTTTCAGTGCAGTTGCCTGCACCCCAGGAAAGCCCTGAGTGTGTCATTAGATAGAAGTGGGCTTTCCTCATGRATTTCATCACACCTATATGAGATGTCTCCCATAAGAGGGATGAATTGCTCCCCATAAGGAACATTTTTCTCAATTAGAAAGCACTGCCAGAGTGGCTGGCTTGAGTGYAGGTGTATACAGCTGGTCATGTCAGRTGATAAGAAATCCATCTTATTGCARAGTTCATACATCATGCCAGGTGTTTGAAACTTTTACAGGAGACATTTGTCATAATCTGAATATTTCTACAGATTATYTTCTGTTTCTAATATATGTTAATATTTAGTCTTTCCACGATCAACCTCATRCAGGTTTTTTCAGTTTCAAGTGCATTGATACCCAATCTCCAACAATACAATGAGAATTTATTTGCAATTTCATCTCTTGTTATGAATCAAAATAAGAGGCAGATTTCCARTGATACTGAAAATGCTACTTCAGATTTGAGTGGATTTTGATTTTAAAACTGAAACCCAAACCCTTCAACTCACAGTGACTGAACTCCTTTGGAAGAACATTCTTGTGTATTCTTCATTATACTCAGCAATGGGATGGTAAAACCTTGAATTATGCAGGCTTAAGCTTCCAGGTTTGGAGTTTCCTCTACACATTCAGTATTGCAATGAAAGCACTGTTTGAGCCTAGATAACCTGCTGGAAATCCATCCCTGTTATTTAATCTGTATTCCCTTCCATCTGATGCTGTCTGCAGTTCTGGGTAGTTTTGATTTGCTGTTTGCTCAGACTGTGGTTGGTTGGTTCCTAGGGCAAAGTTTATGGAGTGAGGTCTTCACTCTAGTCCCTGGGATTCACTGGTCCACCCCTGCAAGGGGCACATGTTTGGAAAGTATGAGGGGCTTGATGAAAAGACAGGAAACAGAAGCATATATTGGAGTCATTTCCCAAGAGTTGTGCTTTGTGGGACAGTTTCCACTGTTTGAAATGGATTTTGCAGCTAGAAASTTCCAGCAAGAATAAGCTGATGCTAAAGGTGAGCTTCATGACAGCTGACTGCAGTTATTTCAGCCACTGCATTAGTGACAAACTAACATTGCAGTAGGGACAGGAGCTGCCAAAGATCTCAGCATTTACCAGGGACCATAGCTGCCATTTATTTGCTTGCTTATTTTAACAAGSTTGAGGCTTTGTTTTGACTCTGCAAATTTCCTTCCAGCTGTTTTTAGCACATYTAATTGTGTTGCAGTCCCAAGGAGCAGAGGTCATCATGATGCCATGGTGCTCAGCCTTGATAAAGTTTATTAAAATCTACTTGTGGACTTGCATTTCTTCTTGAAGGAGTGGTTKTAGATCCCTGTTTACAGTTTTCCTCTATGCTAGTCAATTGGAATGAGGGATGATTTGCTGTAGGAASAAGTACCTGTAGGTTACCAAGATTAGCTGGGCCAGGGTTGGGGGGCTTTTTGCTGTGATTCTGGATGTGCTGAGGAAACATTTCTCAGCTCTGGCTACAGGTAAAGAATCATTTTCTGTCTTGTGCCTTTGCAGCTATGAAGCTWATGACTGCTCTTGTGAATGTTGCCTTAAACCTGAGCATTCATCAGGACAATACACAGAGACAGTATGAAGCTGAGAGGAACAAAATGATTGGCAAAAGAGCTAATGAAAGATTGGAGCTGCTGCTTCAGAAAAGAAAAGAGGCAAGTGAAAAGAYATCTTTTTTATTTTCCTGGTTCATGTGCCTTTCCTCCAACAGAAATCCCAGGGTGGTTTGTGCCTTGAGTAGCACAGTGAGAAAGAGCTTGGTWCTGCAGGGGTGTTTGTGTGATCTTGAGCACACTCCATGGGCTACATTTAAATCTTGTATTGTCACGTTCAGTCRGGTTTGTGGTGCTGTTCTGCACACACAGGAGAATCCCAATTCTTAGGCTTCCATGGATGAGCAGGCAGGAACAGTCCCAAACTGTAAGCAGTCCCTGTTCTGATTATGCAAARAAGATTCTGACCAGAGGATCACACRTTCCYGTTCCCTCCTTGATCACTGCAATTATTGCACAGTATCTCATCAGAACTTCTCTTTTAGCTGGTTTCAGGAAGCACTGCAGTGGGGGCTATAGCACCTGCTCTCAGAGAGAAGGAGCTAGGGACACATTAAAGTCACCTCTAGTAAGTACCAGTATGGCATTAGGTGAGGAAAACATAGGTCTCTCAATTAGAAGGTTGCTGTAATCATGTCTAAAAAAAGCATTATATCACTATATATAGGAAATTTGAGTTTTAAAGATGATGAGTAGAAAATTGATACACGTACACCGAACAACCATGTATAAAGAAGCGCAGTAAAATTCAAGAGTGACTGAAAAGTTGAAGTTTATATGGCTTAGATTTAAGTTATTATTTTTAATATACTAGTTTTGAGTTTCCTCCACCACTGTTTTACTCTGTGGCAGTTAAGGATACTTGGGTGCTTTACCTGTGTGCACCTTGGAATCCTTTAGGTGTAGTTTTGATTCAGAATTGCTTGATTTTGTAGTCTTTGTCTGGGGATAATTACAATTGCTTGCATTTTTTTTACCCCTATGATCTCTAGCACAACTTTATTTGGTTTTCATAATTCTTAAAAATCATGCATTAAGGTACAAACCAAGAACAATCTCTTCTGCTCAAACTGCAAGAGAAACATTTRAAATTAAATATTAAATTGAATGTGGGTCTTAAAAAGCATTTTAAAAAGCAAAATAGCTGGAACAGAGTTTGTATTCTGCATCTGTTGATTGTTGCTTTGAGTTTGCAGAGGACAAAGGCCCTGATTKCATTGATTACCTCTGGCTGGTGGCTCTGTGGCCGTGGGCTCTTCTGTGCCCATTTCCCCCGCTGTTCTGGCAGAGCTGCAGGCCCTCCTGGCTCTTGGGCTCTTGCCAGCCCTTCCCTTGGGCTCTCCTGTCACTACTGGGGACAGCCCAGCCCAGCCAGGAGCAGCACTGCCAGTCCAGTGTGTCCAGGAGAGATCTGTGAGGAGGAGACACCTCGATGGCTCTGGGTAGGAATTGCTGGAGCAGTGCTGTCTGTTGCCTGTGTTTAATGCACGGAGGTGACAGTGGCATCCTGTGCTGGCCCTTCCTCTGTTGRTTCTTTGCTGAAGTGCCATCCTAACAACCCCTCCTGAGCAAATTCTTGTGCATGTGTTGATCTTCCCAAGGAGATAGAGGGACAGTTCACYGAGTGGGGCAAATTAGGCTGAAGTAGAGGAGATGGGGCACTTCCTGAAGTGTTTCCTTCTTTTGGCATCATCTCCGGCCTGATGTGTACATGGAGCTCTGTCTTGTCAGAGTTTCAGCTCAAGGGGATGACTGATGTAGCAATGTGCTGCAAATCAGAGATATTTGTCTTTTAGTATCTGCCGGTAGTATTCAAATTTTGTGCTTGTCATACATGTCTTTTTGAGCTTCTGAATCTCCTTGCATAGTCAACAAGAAGTGTTTCCCTCATTTTTTACTCATGTTTTAGAGGGGGAGTGTTAAATCATTTTTGCATTGGTAAGAGCAGCAGTCCCAAGACACAGACGCTTTCTCAAGATACTTGAAGTTAAGCACTCGAATTCAAGTGCATAGTTTAGAAAACTTGAAAGTGTAGAAAGCAATTAGAGTTTCAGAGAAAATTCATTACTGACTCTAAAATACACTTGAGAATTGMATCCTTTAAATGTTAGCACACAGAGGTAAAAGGCATTTCACATGGACCTGCTGAATCTCTGATTCTGCTTCTGCATCAGCTGTGCCCCAGCACCTGGGTACCTGTAGCTGATGATAATTTACCAAGTTTATGTGGAGCTGTAAATTCTGTGCAGAAGAAGAGGGAGGAGGCCATCCATGCTGGCCTTTCATCTGTGCTGCTTCATTTTGTACTCGGGGAGGTGTCAAAGTACACTTTTTTCAATCTCAACTTCCTTGTGGCTCAGAAAGTCCATTTTCTCCAACCTCTCTTCTGTGGTGGAGTTTTATACCAACAATTCATTCCCTGAGTTCTCTGGCAGCTTCCCCTTCCAGGTCCTGGTACTTTTTCAGAAAGCCTCCTGAAGCTTCTTGGTTCGTTCCCATCCTGATTTTGCTGCACAGTCTGGGCTAGGCTGTCTCTACCCCTGTACTTCTGTGGATGTTTCCCTGCCTGTGGAGTCGTGCAGTTGAGGGATGATTAGGAGCTCACAGACCCCTCTGTGTTATGAGTTCTCAAACAAGCATTTAGTCTGTGCATATTTGGGTTGAGCTGATGCTGTGTGTAGTGCTTTTCTCAGAAGCCATGTCTCAATGTGCATGGTTTGTGTATGCAGAGCTGGTGTGCACCAGCTCCTGCCTCTGTATATAATCCCTTTTACTGTGAAATKAATTTCTTTGGCAAGCCTTTGACAATTTAGTCAAGAGCCCTCAATKCCTTGGTTTCCCCACATACAAAATGGAGGCAGCACCTCCTCACACTGGCATGAGCTGGGAGGCCTCACYCCCTGAGTTCTGCAGCTACTTCAGCTCATACCTGCAAGATGCTCCACAAGTATTTGGCTGAAAAATAGAAGCCCTTAGGGGAAAGTGTTTCAGAGCTCATGCCATGCAGGAGGTCAAACAGCTGATCACAATTTTGCTTCTGGCTTTATCTGTTAAATATATACATTCATAATTGTACAGGTTTAATTATTTTATGCTTATGTGCACTGTACTAGCAAGGCTCTGTTGCTGTTTTCCTACTGASAACGTGGGCAAATTTACATTCCCACATTGTGGTGCTGTGCTTGGACTGGAATGGACACCTTGATGCAAGAACGACAGCTGCTCCAAAAGCTGATTGGATAAAATTGGTGTCATCTTATTAAAAAAGCTGCATTTAGGTGTAATTAATTTGTACTTACTTAGTTTAGTACAAGATCTGAAGTGTGAGAATACTGTAATTAATTCCAAGTTRTGTTAACATATTAATTGACAGGAGGTAAGCTCCCCTTAGTACTTGCAGAATGTGCTCACATTACCCAGGAAGTGAAAAGATTTTTAAGCAAACACTCTTATTTATAAAAGCATGCTCACGGCACCTTTTTTTTGGGGGGGGGGGATTTGGTTTGGTTTTTTGCAGTCCAAGGCCTGAATGTCAGGTGTGCTCCAGTTCTGGAAATCTTCCTAGTTCTGAAACCCAGTTATTGTGGGTGCTTATACTTAAGATTGAGAACATCTTCAATTCCTTTCCTTAAACAGAGCATTAATTTTTTTCCAAAGTGATCTGTAACCAGCTTTGTTTCTGCAGCTGTCATTCACTCAACCCTGTTTCCCTGTGAACACAGCACTGCTGRCATTACTGCACACATTGTGTCTACTTGTCTCATTTTTGGTACCAAAAGTTAAAGATCACTTCAAAGAACTAATTGGAGACTAAACTGATGTTTTTTAGTGGATGTTAATTTTCTTCTATTAAGACCTTSCATATATAAATGTAAATATTTGTATGTACATGCACACGATACAGGCATGTGCTGGAAGAGCAGAAATGGTGAATTTACTTAAGTGCTCTTCCAAGGTCTTCTAATGTTTCCCAGTAAGGAATTGTAGAATACTAAATTGTAGTGAGCAATGATCTTTTATTTATTTTGTGTTTTGTTTTTCACAGCTACAAGAAAACCAAGACGAAATCGAAAATATGATGAACTCTATTTTTAAGGGTATATTTGTTCATAGATACCGGTAAGAAAATGCATGTTCCAATAGGCTCTGCTAACAAAGTGTGGTTGTAAAGAAAGTCAAGGGCAATGTCTGGGCTGATTTTCTTCTGTTGTAATATTCTAGATGCTGCAAGAGCACTGTATAAAGCACTTGAAGTTATGGAAGAACATACACAATGTAACCCCTATTAATTACACAGTAGAGCCAGCTACACAACTTTGTTTCAGTTCAGTAAACAGCTTTAAAGAGTTGTGGGAGACATGGGCTTTGAATCTTGCCTTTTGAAAAGTTATCTATTTTGGGAGCACAAAAATGACATATCTTAAGAATAATYAAATAATCAYTGCATATCACAGGACAGCAGTTGTSCTCCAGCCTGCATTTCCTTCTGCATGTCTTGGGTGTAAACAGCAAATTTGGAATAAGGTTTACCAGGGAGCAGTAGTCTTTTAAAATAGATTTAAAGTTSTGCATCACAAGGTGCCTCAGAGCATCTGCAGCACCTTGGTGCAACCAGCTCTTTAAATGGTGATTGACTTGCTGAAATCAAAAGATAAAATTCAGAGGTACTAAACTATGCAATTAACCTTTCAGATTTCAGTTCTGGTTTAAAGGTTTATAATTGACGGAATCTTTTAGGAAAATGGCAGAAAAGAAGGGTGTATGAGAAGAGGGTTAGAAGGTGAAGCGGAACCCATAGTTCAGTTGGACACAGGAAAGATTATAAATGTGGAGAGACGCATGCAGGAAACCTGGAAGGGGCTCGTGCTGAGAAATATTTGAGTGTGAGCAGCACTATGGGGTTGCAGTGTCTCCTCAGTACCCAAGCACAGAAAGTTGGTTCATGGTTTATGGTCAGGAAGCCTTGAGATGCTTGGCAGCAGGAGGATGGGTATGCAGAGCCAACAGGTGAATGTGTGTTAGATCACTGGAGTACTCACATTGTTTTGTTAGGAGCGCAGCTTTCGTGATGTCAGTAAAAAAGCTGAAGAAATMAAATTCTAAATGTGTTTCCATTTTTATCCCTTCAGAATTTAGTGTATTATATCGAACAAAAAGTCGCTTTAAAATATTCTCCTAGTAGTTCATGCTCTTATGTAGGGTTGGAAAAAGACTCAGCCTTTTGATGGTCKGCATTCTGATGCTTCTTTTTTTCTTTTGAAATCCTCCTTTTTGTAAAAAAGTTTCTTTTCATGCCTCCTGCCACCACTAGTAAAGACTTGGTTTTGCTGGTGTTAATGTAACAAAGGAGAGGCCAMATGAATAAACTCCATCTGTGCCCTGGAGAAAGGTGTCTGTGGTGGCCTTGCTGGAGCAGTGGGGAMCTGGCTGAAATCAGACAGTGGTGGCATGTCCTGAGCTGGGGGTGGCACAGCTAAGATGGCAGGAGGARCCCCCAGGAGTTGCCATCCCTGACCCTATGGGAGCCCCAAGAGTCTCTTGGAGCCCACCCAGCCTGGAGTGATTGTGCTCAGCAGAGAGCAGAGTCACCCCCCTGCACTCACTCCTGGGCAGGGACACCGAGGGGAAACCTGTGAGAGACAGAGACAATGGAAGACAAAACACAGGGGGATGGTGTGTAWAGAACTTCAAACCACAACCTGCTTTCTTCATTTCCTGATTATCCCTTCTCTCAAATAGTTCAAATTGTTTACAAACTTCACACGATTTTACAGTCCTCAAAGCGTGCAAAAGGGGTGGTGATTTCAAAAGAATGTTATTTTAATTATTCCCAGAGAATATTCCCTCAGTATGATTCCCTCAATATGATTCAGACTCAACCACAGTGGTTCATGCTTAGTGATCTTTGGAGCTTAAATTACAAGTCCTTGACCTAAACAAAACCCCCAAAACTRTTCCACTCAGAACGTGTTTCCCTACAACTGTTACAGTGAGATTGCAACTTCTGTGGATTGGCTTCCAGTGTATTGGAAGATTTCAGTTCTCACTTCTCTCATCAAGAAAAAAAGAGATTTGCAGAAATCTCTAAACAGTTTCCTAGGCATGATGCTAGTCTAGTGTMAACAGCAGATTTGGCAGAAAACTGAGATGTTCTTAATAAGCTCAGAGGAAATGTATCCACCTCACGGCATATTGCATTTTCTCCTTCTCAACTGCTTGGTCTCACTGTTCTTCTGTGGCTTTAGGGTGTTTGGTTGTCTGAGGATTCTTTTGTCCTTTTTTTTTAAAACCTTAGAAAAGGGTTTTTAAACCTGTTTTTTATTTGATTGTAGTCAAAAGCTGAAAATTGCTTGCAAGGTACATGAATATTAAAAGAAAAAAGGAAGGGACATCTATTTCTTCATTTCAGTTGTATCTGCATATCAGAAATTACTGAATCTGACATTATTGCCACGTAGCTGCTCAGATGTGAGGAGTATTTATGAAATGGTYGTCCCTCTGAACTGTTAGCTGAGGKGTCAGTTTTGGTTGGRCTCTTGCCCTGCTCAGGACTTAGCACTATGTGTCCAGACACATTTCCMTTTCAGAGGGTGAGATTGAAAGCTCTGGGATTTCAGTCCTACTTCACAGTATCTTTTTGTTTTGAGTGCTCAGAGAGATTTTCCTCCAGGTGTGACTGTCCAGACAAACAGAACTATTACAGTTTTAGCTTCTGGCAGAGCAGAATGGGGATCCTCACGCTGATGGRTTTGGGAATTTATGCAAGGTGTGAGCCTGTCCTGAGGTAAATRTTTTGTCAGTACTAGCAAATAAGGTAAACCTTGCCAAATCTAGATGGCATTGCCATTTTTATGGAGGTGATGCTTCTGTCTCCTTCCAAGGTGTTCCTTTGCCTGCTGCAGAGTGAGTAGGTGGTGACAAGTTACATGGGAATTCCACTGTGGGAAACAAGGAAGGGCAAAAAGGGAGAAGGGGGAGCRGTGATTGGATGGCTGAATCTGAGATTATTGCCACGTAGCTGCTTAGATGTAACGAGTATTTATGAAATGCTTATCCCTCTCAACTGTTAGCTGAGGTGTCAGAGTTTTGGTTTGGCTCTTTCCCTGCTCAGGACTTAGTCTGGGGAAGCACAGACCAGTCAGCCCAGGGAAATGAAAACCCAAAGCAAACCAGAGAAAAATCCTTCTCCCTCATCCTAAATGTGTTATATGTTTTTGCCTCCTAGGTGACAAGGAAATGTATTATATTTTTAGTTATGTTTTAAAAAATAGACAGAAATTACTRATGTCACAGACATAAAAATAGAAAGGCAAAAAGTGACCTCATTTTATTTCAATGAGTTTGTGAATTTTTATGACCTTTCTGTGAAATTCAGAAGCACACACTGCTCTCTTCTCTGCAGAGCTGTGTCTCATACTTCACACAAGCAAAGGTGTTGGGACAGGAACTCTTTGGGAATCACTGGGGACAGAGGTGTGTAAGCCACATCTCAAATCCAAGTCATGCCTTGCTGTGGCATGATCAGCCTGGTGCCAGGTGATTGGGACAGATACTTAAAAAGCTGCCCTGTGCAGAAGTGCCCACAAGTGGGATGTGCAGGGGGCACTCACCAGGACTTTGGGAAGGGGGCTCTGAACTCTTGTTTCTGTAACAGTATCCTGATTTCTTCTGGCCTTAATCAGAGTTCTTGGGTGTGATTTGGCATGAAAGGGACACTGAAGTGGCACTTTGAATGGCACTGGTAAAATCTGTTTCCTGACACTGCTGTGGTTTGTCCTAAGGTTTATGGGTCTGCCTTGTCAATCCAAAATTTCAAAAGGACACAGAGAATTTTTTGCCTGAACCCCTTTTGTCAAATCCTTTAGAAAGTTGCMTGATGGAGGATCTCTTTACCCAGAGTAGGAGCAGAGGCTCTACCCAGAGTAGGAGCAGTGAATTCTGCTGTAAATATTTTCCCCATGTAAACCTTGCTTTGCAGTCCRTGCTGAAAGAGGGTTAATAAAATTAACATGGGATTTACAAATCTTAATTTCTGTTCTGGACTAGGTTCTGTTTCTTTCTAGAGGCATTTGGCAAGTAATACAATTACATCACTAATTTATAATTATGATAATTAATTGTTTATTCAGAATTCTGAAATTACTTCCAGTGCAGGTATAACTAGTATTTATATTCTATGTCAGGAGAATGACATATGACAGTTCTTATGTCATCCAGAAATAGTGTGTATATTCAAAAAATTAGACTATTCATAGTGACTCTACCAGAAGCTAAAATGTATTTAACTGTATAAAAATGAGAAGAATTGYAGTTTAATGACAAACAATTAGCACATCCATAGCAAAGGTACAAAGATTTTTGTGGCTGTATTGTGTTAGGTATAGCATTGTAGGGCATGGAGTCCATGTGACTCTGGTTGGAAAAAGTTACCTGGGAGGGGAYGTGGAGTGGGAAGCGGAGTCTCACAAGTTCCCTGCGTCTCCAGCAGCCTGAGTCTGTTTGCTGGTCTCACATGCTTAACCMTGATTCTTTGTCATTTTCAATTATACTGGAGATATTAAATTCTTATTATACT